CACCTTTACCCACTTAACCATTGAGACAGCCTGAGAAGGCCTGAGTTTGAAGGAGGAATAAAACCCTGGTCTGGTATGTGGGCTTTTGGCAGAGCAGCTAGCCCGGTGGCTTGGGGAGTCTGTGGCTGCAGGTGAGCAGTGGATGTGAGTGTGTTTGGGGGTGGGGAGATCATGCAAGGGAGGAGGCCAGAAGCTGCAGCCAAAGCAGACCAGGCCCTTGAGAAGTCTGTTCAGGACTGGGTGGCAGAAGCAGGATGGTGGCAAGAGCAGGCTAAGATGAAGAGGGGAGCCAGTTTGTTTTTTGTTGGATTTCCCTGAGAGCTGTTTGAGTTTAGAAAGATACTGTATGAATAATCCACCATAACAAAGAACCAGGTGACGTGGTAGGGTTACCTCTGGCTGTGGGCCCAAGTAGTAGGCTTCAGCTGGAATAGGCACATTTCATTTCTTTGGCAGAATGTTCAGAATGGTGCTGTCACCCTTAACCTTTCTTTTAAGCAAAACTGGGGACTAGGGATATGACCCAGTTGATAAAGTGCTTGTCCAGCATACACAAAGCACTGGTTCAGCCCTAGGCAGCACTGTATAAACCATGTAATCCCAGCACTCAGCAGGTAGAGTTCAAGATCCCTCACTAAGTGCCATTAAAATATCAAACAAGTGGGCCCAGGCCTATAATTCCAGTTGCACTGTAGGCCAAGGCAGGAGGATCTTGATAAATTCAAGGCTAGCCTAGGCAACATAATGAAACATTGTCTCATAATAAAGAGTCAGGAAAGGGCTGGGAATGTAGCTCAGTGTTAGAGCTCTCACTCAGCATGCCAGGGCCCTGGGTTCAAGATCATCCTTACCTACATTCTAGCCTAAAATAAATGAGATCTTATTTCAGAAGTTTGGATCATCCTACAGTTTTTCAGTTAGAAGGATATTTAATGTTTCCATTGTATTAAGCATTGATATTAAAATTAAAATGTATGAATTCCTTGTGCTCAGTGTTCTACCAAATGCTGGGTAAAGCTATGCTGGCCTATGCACAGCCCATGTGCTCTTTCCATGAAGCCCCTTGCAAAGTGCACCTCTGTGCCTGAATTCTCAGTGTAGCTCTTTGTCGCCATCTAGTGTCATAAAATTTTCTTCTTTGAGTTTTCTTGAGAAAAATTTAAAACCTGATTTACAAAGAGAACTTGATTTTAATTTTGAATACATTGAGGTTCCTGGCCGTTTCTTTTTTTTTTTTGTCTTTATAAGTAATGGTCTAGAGTAATATCTGCTCACTAAGCACCATTAAAATATCAAGCCGGGCCCAAGCCTGTAATCTCAGTTGCACTGTAGGCCGAGGCAGGAAGATCTTGACAAGTTCAAGACTAGCCTGGGCAACATAATAAGACATTCTCATAAAGAGTCAGGAAAGGGCAGGGACTGTAGCTCAGAGGTAGAGCTGTCAGCGTGCCAGAGCCCTGGGTTCAATTCCCAGCACCACCCCACACCAGATATCTAAATACTATTTTTCTGTTTTGAATAGAAAGAATCAATTTTAGGACTTGCTTACTGAGATTAAGAATTTTAACTGTGGTGTCAGGAAAGTTCTGGGATACTTTCTAAAACACAGAGCTAACCCTGGGTACCACATGCCCATCACAAGTTGTTCCCCACAAGGAGTATGGTCAGCTCCTTAGGATCTTACCATCATTCAGGGGTATCCCTGGGAGGTGACAGGAGGAGACAGGTCTAGAGTAGGGAGTAGCAATAAATACACTTTATAACCTCGGTAAAAAAACCCACCACTTGTTTTGCCACCTTCAGGCTGCAGTCACTTGTGAACTGTTGACCAAGAGCTGCTATTTGTTGAAAAATCAGCCAGATACAGTACAATCGCACTTTGATGTGAGGTAGTCTTTTCCTTAGGTGGGTATCGCTGCAGCAAAGGGGTTAGGCAAAAGAAATTATCTTGCTGTTTTATTGGTAACATCTGTGGACTCACACTGTTTTTCATATTTTGTTTCTAAGTGAGCTGCATAAGGAACAGACCATTGCCAAGAGTTTCTTGCTGGAATTTCTCTGAGCTAGCTTGTTATCTAATTCTTTCATTATTATATCCCTCCAATTCCACAGCTGGAAAGAACCTAGCCTATATGAAGGGGTGTTTGTGTTTGGTGGGGGTGATTATTGGTTCTCTAGAGTACTTTATAATTCCAACAAGAACAAAAGGAAAGAGCACCATGCTAGGAAAGAACCCAGAAGGGGCGGGTTCTGCGGCTGGGCATCTGGATGTGTACAATGAGACTGGGTGTACATGACATACTATATGGCTGGGTGTCCACAGAGGTGCTGGACATGCACAGTGGGGCTGGGTTTATATGATGGTACTAAGTGGCTGAGTGTACCTGATGTTCACACTGGGTGTGCATGATGGTTTTTGGTGGCTAGTTTACATAGTGATATTCAATAGCTGGGTGTGTACAGTGGTGCTGGGTGTGCTGGAAAGGATGCTGTTTCCTTGTAAAGTAGTTACAGGTGCTAGGAAAAATTCCTCAGGTGTGTGATGGCCCTCAAGTTATTTCCCATTCATTCTTATAAAGCAAGTTGATTTAATCTGCATGCTGATTTAATTCACTTGCTGACTAGAATTTTCTTGATTGGTTGGTAAGCTGAAAGTAGAAGAAAAACTTCTTTTGACAGTTTCATGCAGCCCAGGCTTGCCTCAAACAGTGTAGCCAAGGATGCCCTTGAATTCCTGATTCCCCTGCCTCTACCTACCAAACACTGGGCTCACTGACATGTGTCACCATACTAGCTCTTGAGTATTTGTCTTAACATTGTAAGCCTCAGTTTCATAGCTACAAAACACCTGAAGTTGTAAGAAGTGTGTACCATAGGTAACAGGGGTAAAGCCCTCTGTGTATTTTGCACAGTGCTCAAAAGTGCAGATGATAATCCCAGCACTTGGGAGAGCGAGGTAAGATTTCAAATTTGAGGCTAGCCTGGACGTAGTGAGACCCAGACTCAAGAAACCAAAACAATGAATAAATTGCAAATGGTCACAGTTGTCAATGTCAACATTATTTGTGCAAAAATCATTGAAGCTAGAATGGAAACATATGTAAGTTCTTCTTTCTTTCTTTCTTTCTTTCTTTCTTTCTTTCTTTTCTTTTCTTTTCTTTTCTTTTCTTTTCTTTTCTTTTTTTCTTTTTTGAAACAGGGTCTCATGTAGTCCCAGCTGGTCTAGAACTCACTATGTAGACCAGGCCAGCCTCGAACTCAGAGATCTGCCTGCCTCTGCTTCCCAAGTACTGGTATTAAAAACATGCGCCAGCACACCTGACTCAGATCCAAATTCTTGGTGGTACCTAGATGCTGCATTAGAGTATTAGTGTGGACAGATGTTTGTAGAGGAATATTACATTTCATTTTTATCCTGGGAATGGTCTGATAAATTTGCTCTTTTTAGAGAACTGTAAGAAATGTTCCCTTTGAGGCCTTGGAGAGCTGGCTCAGCTGTTAAGAGCACTGGCTGCTCTTGCAGAGGACCTGGGTTCAGTTCCCAGCACCCCCATAGTGGCTAACAATAACAATGACCCACAACTCCAGTTCCAGGAGATCCACTGCCCTCTTCTGGCTGTCCCAGGCACTGCATACACAGGTGCACTTATAGATATGCAGATAAAACATTCATACACATAAAATAAAAATAATTTTGAAATTAAAAAAAGAATGTTCCCTTTTGTTGGTCAAGGAGAACATCCATCCTTTGAGTCTTTTCTTGAGTCAGATTTAAAGAAAGGCAAAGGCTGTTGAGTTGCTTTCTGCTTTAGTGACTGATCATAAAACGCTTTGATTTGGGGGTTGAAGAGATGGCTCAGCTGATAAAATACCACATAAGCATGATGACCCAAGTTAAGCCCCCAGAACCCCGTTTTTTTTTTTTTTTTTTTCTTAAAGAGGCCAAGGGCAGTGATGTGTAAGCCTGTAGCCTCTGTGTTGGGGAGGATTCCTGGACTCACTGGCCAGCCCACTTAGCCTAATAGAGGAGCTCCAGGCCTTTAGAGACATGGTTTCAAAAAATAAGATGGAGAACAATCGAGGAAGACGCCAGCATCAACCTGTGGCCTCCAAATGCACACACCTGTGGGCGCCCACATAGGTATGCACGCTCGACGCACATTCAGACTATATCTACACACCCCAACACCCACAAAGCTTTCATTTGGAATTAAATCACATCAGTAAATATATAATCATGTTGTGAGAAGAATGTGACACATTGTTTCCTCAAAAGCACACTCTCCCAAACAGACATGGTATCCGTCCATCCCTCCTATTCCAGCATTCATACATGAAGTACACAGGTAACCCAGAGCAGCCTGGTGCAGAATGTTTGTGTGTCTGACTGGGGCGTCTTCCTTTTCCTGCCCAGGCTGCCATCCTCTACCTAGGCTTATTGACTTGGTGAGTTTGTGAGTGGCTGTAGTGTTGGTCTCTAGGGAACATGGCCCTGGCGAAGGGAGCAGGGAGAGACCTGAGTCTTGTTATCAGCCCTCTGGCTTTCCTCACCTTTTCCACTGGTCCTTATTTCAGTCTCTTCTCCGTGACTCATCCATGCTCACACAGTGGCTGCGGAGTCTCATGATAAAATGCTCACTGACCACTTTTGTTGCCTACAAATGAGAGTTAGGCAGTGGGAATGGTACCATTTTTGTTGACCCTTCATGTCACCTCTTAGTTACGTAGAGGTTTCTAGACTTCTGCACCTCACTTAGTTTAATTGTGCATTATTGTCAAATTATATTTCATTTACTTTTTTTCTGTATGTGTTTATATAACAAAAACAGACTAGCAAGAACAGCTCTAAAAGCAAAATGATGCCTACTTTTCAAATACTGGATTGGAGTTACTTTAAAGTAGTCTCTAGTAAGTCACATTAATAGTTTATGTCAACTACAGCACTTGTCTAGCACTTGACTTCTGCACTCAGTGGCGCTCACCTGAGCTGGTTTTTGCAGGGTGACCTGAAGGCTTACCTGCGCAACGAGCAGGAGCAGGTGCGGGGTGACTCGAAGACCATGCTGTTGCAGAGGATGGCGTGTGAGATCGCTGCGGGGCTGGCGGCCATGCACAAGCTGCACTTCCTACACAGGTGGGTCCAGTTGGGCACAGGTATGTCTCATGTTACCACTTGTTGCTGCTGCCCAAAGAGGCCATACAATTTGGAGAGAGGGGCTGGGGTGTGGCTCAGTTGGTACAGTGCTTGCCTAGCATGCAGGAAGCCTTGGATTTGATAAACAGGGCTTGTGGTACACATCTGTAATTCCAGCACTCAGGAGGAGGAAGTGGGAGGATCAGGAGTAAGGATATCCTTGGCTACATAGTGAGTTAGAGGCCAGCCTAGATTACATGAGACCTTGTCTCTAAAGGAAGGAAGGGGAGCGAGGGAATCTCCTTTTTAACAAAGAAAGAGAAAGAAGGGGGAAGCCAAAGAAGATCGGTTGTAATACCAGCTCTCAATTAATAGGAAAGGCTGAATTAGGCTTCACTTAAACCGATACCAAGGAATAAAATATCTGAACACAGCCCAAAGCCTAGAAAATACTTCCAGAATTTGAAACAAAGTAAGAAAGTGTATGCATGCCTGGGAGCAGCGTGTCGGATGAACTATACCTGACCTGACTATTATAGCCATCCAGTCAGCATTAGGCTTCTGCTTGTACCTGCAGCATCTTCTGGTGTGTCCCCATTCACACACACACACACACACACACACACACACACACACACACGGGGGGGGGGGAGAAGAGAAAATCTATAGGCCAAGAGCATCTCTTTGTACAAGGTGATTGATAGCTTTGGTTTCTGGCCAGTGGAAAGGTTTAAGGGTGTTGAGATTGGGTCTGAAGTGGCCTCCTGTTTACACGCTATGGTACAGCCAGTTGGAGACTGTTTATGAACAGCACAATCTGCCCAATTTATACTGTCAGAAGCTTCTAGGGCCTCCCTCAGTAGCTCTGCATGTACTTTGGTCAGGTGGTTGATGGTGCTTTTTATAATGAAAACAACCAAGGACTTGGAGACTTGGATCCTAGATCAGGTGCCAGTCTGTTCCATAAACCAACTTATTTAGTTATTTACTTAATTTGTGTGTGTGTGTGTGTGTGTGTGTGTGTGTGTGTGTGTGTGTGTGTAGGGGTGAGTGTGCAAAGGCACACACACACAGGCCAGAAGAGAACATAAGGTGATAAGGTGTCCTCTATCACCCTCTCCACCCATTCCTTTGAGCCAGGGTCTCTCCTTAAACTGAGGGCGGGCTGGTGTTTTCTCAGCTAGGCTGGAAAGCAACAAACCCCAGTGCTCCTCCTGTCTCCACCCCACCTCAGAACTGGAGTTAGAAGTGTGCAGGGCTCGTGACTTGTTATGTGCATGCTGGAATCTGGACTCCATTCCTCATGCTTATGCAGCAAGTGCTTGTAACTGCTGAGCCATCTCTCCAGCCTGATTTTTGTTTAGAATATGTTACTTCCTAGTATCTCTCCGTAGTTGACTCTTAAGTAAATCATGTAACTCTTAGCAACCCAAAGATCTGAAAAGTAGTACTTGTCTTGATGTCTGTGAAGTATTTTTAAAAAGCAAGTCTGAGGCTGGAGAGGTTCAGTGGTTTAAGAGCATGTATTGCTCTTGTAGAGGACCAGAATTCTTTCCCAGTACTCAACGTCACACAGCTCACAACTGCCTATAACCCCTGCTCCAGGAATCCATATTCTTCTAGTCTCTGCAGACACTGTGCTCACACATACACCACAGACACACACAGACACACAGACGCACACACACACACACACACAAGCACACTTTAAAAACAAAAAGCAAGTGTCAGCATGATGGAGTTTAAAGAAGATACTAGCTGTCTTGGGGACAGGAAGCAGCTGTGGATTAGCTCCTATCAGACTCTCAGCATTGCTTCAGGGTGGGAAAACAGGGATGTGCAGGCCTTTTTCTCCACATCTGTGTCTTGTTTGACCTGTAGTATTAAACAAATGATTCTGATAAAGTGTATCTTAAGTTCTGAAAGGTGACAATTTTCTTAAGGCCCAAGCCAGAATCCCTTCCATGAAACTTCAAAATATAAAAGATCTTTTCATTATATAATAAAGAAATCCTGTCTTTTGAGTTTTTTATAACATTAACACAGTATATATTGTTGCTCTCTGTCAAATATAGAGAATGATTGTTTAACACTTGCCTTAGGGATTTTTAAGTTGTGATGAAGGAAAGAAACATTTACAAGTATCCCATCAAGGCCAGACATGGTGGTACATGCCTTTAATCCCAGGCAGAGACAAGCAGATCTCTGTGAGTTTGAGGCAACCTGGTCTACATAGTGAGACCTGTCTCCAAAAATAATCCCATAAGGGACTGGAAAGATGGCTCAGCAGCTAAGAGCAGTCCTCTTTAAGACGACTCGAGATGCGTTCCCTGCACCCACATGTGTTGGCTTGCTACCACCTTTAACTGTAGTTCCAGGAGATCTGATACCCTCTTCTGGCCTCTGTGAGCAAATGCATAAACATACACATACCTACATATATATATATACATAATTTAAAAATAATTAAATAAATCTTTAAAAAAATATCCCTTAGGGCTGGAGAGATGGCTCAGTGATTAAGAGCACACTGGAATTCTGTTTCTGGCACGTATATTGGGCAGCTTGCAGCCTAGCTCTAGAGAATCTGATCCTTCTGACTTCCAACTTCTAAGGCGCCTGCACTCATGCACATAGACTCTCATACATATTTTTGTTTGTTTTGGTTCCTTTTTAAAAAATATTTTATTATTTTTATTTTATGTGTATGTGTGTATTGCCTGCATGTTAGTAAGTGCACCCATGTCATGCAATGCCCGCAGAAGACAGAAGAGGCTGTTGGATCCCCTGGAACTGGAGTTACGGACAGTTGTTAGCTGCCATGTGGGTGCTGGGATTCGAACCTGGGTCTTCTGCAAGAATAGTCAGTGTTCTTAACTGCTGAGCCATCTCTCCAGCCCCTGTTTTGGTTCTTTTGAGGCAGGGTCTCCCTGTAACCTTAGCTGGCCTGGAACTTGCTGTGAAGACCAGACTGGCCTCAATCTCACAGAGATCTATCTGCCTCTGCCTCCTGGGTGCTGGGACTAAAGGTGTGCACCACCATGCCTGGTTCACATAATTAAAAATATTTTTTTTAAGTATTCCATCAAAATTGGCAACATGAAGTTATCAGAGACAGCCAGGAAGTGTGGCTTCCCATAATACCTTTTAATTACTGTATCTTAAAAACTGGCAAAGCTGTCACAGAGAGTTGTATTTCTCATACTTCCTCAAGGTAAAGTCTTAAGGACTTGAAAACAAATAAAGATAAATCAAATCACATGGTTTGGATGATATTCAAGCACAAAACCTCAAAGTAGAGAAAATCTTTAGAAACATTGACAGCTGGTACATTTTGTTTTAAAAAGGTAACCATGTCTTATGCTGGGGAGATAACTCAGTCTGTAAAGAGCTTATAGGACCTGAGTTTGATCCCATGTTAAAAACAAAAACAAGGGGCTGGAGAGATGGCTCAGCAGTTAAGAACACTGACTGTTCTTGTAGAAGACCTGGGTTTGAGCCCCAGCACCCACATGGCAGCTAACAACTGTCCATAACTCCAGTTCAACAGCCTCTCCTGACCTCCACAGGCATTGCACGACACAGGTGCACTTACCTACATGCAGACAATATGCACATACATATAAAATAAAAATAATAAATAAAAATTTTTTAAAAAGTTAAAACAAAACATCAGTATGATGGTATGAGCTTGCGATTCTGGCCCTGGGGAAGTGGAGACAGGTGGAACCTGGTGCTCCCTGGCCAGTCAGCCTAGGCTACTTGCAAGTGCCAGGACAGTGAGAGACCCTGCCTCAGAAAAAAAAAAAAAAAGGTAGACAGTGCCTGGAGTGACACCTGAGGTTGTCCCCTTGCCTCCACATGCACACACCTGTGCCCATGCACACGCACACACGTAAACACACAAATGCTATGTTTTATATAAAATCTCACGTGGGACAAAACTTAGTACTTTAAGTTCTTCTTGTGTGGGTAGCCTTCCATATGGCATATTTAAAAATTGAGACATAGCCAGGCGAGGTAGTGCACGCCTTTAATCTCAGCACTCGGGAGGCAGAGGCAGACGGATCTCTGTGAGTTCAAGGCCAGCCTGGTCTACATAGTTGAGTTCCAGGACAGCTGGGGCTACAGGGAGACCCTGTCTCAAAAAAGACCAAAAAAAATTGAGACAGAATACTGACTGACTCAAGGTAGGACATGGTTGAAATAGAATAGCACATCCATCTAACCCAAAGTTGTCCTTATGTTGGAAACTGATCCAGTAAATCACCCTAGTTAAAATTTGTTTTTTATGAAATGTTTAAAGAGAGGCTTATCGCCGAGTCTCAGGCAGCTGCATTTCTGAGGTGACATGCACCACATTCCTGAAGGCCATGTGAACAGAGCATGCTGCTGTTACTGCTCCACAGGTGGCCCAGGACCTGAATCTCCTGTCTCCTGCCTGTGAGGTCTCCTGAGCAGCAAGATGCTGTCAGGTCACTGTGGTGGGCTCAGCACAGAGGGTTCCAACAGCAATATATGAATTCAGCTGGCCCAGAGTCAGTGGTCACAATGATGACAAATGGGAGCACCCACTCAGGAGGCTGGCCTGCTTTTAATTTTATGGTTATTTTCTGCTGAGAGCCCTCTGGGTTTTCCTGGCCCTCAGTATCAGAAGTGTTGTAGGGGCATGAATAAATTAACCCTTGGGGTTAAAAGTCATTTTACATTTTTCTTATAGATTGTTGTTCTAAAGACGTCCATGTTGCTAAGCTTAGAAAGTGTTTCTCTAAAGCAGCTGGAGCTATACCTCTGGCCCGGGTATTTCAGCTGGTAAATTGTCAAGTGCCCAAGAAATTCCCTCTAATGGGGCTGGGGAGATGGCTCAGTAAGTAAAGCCAGGAGTTTGGATCCTCAGCACCTACCTAAATGCTGAGAGGGCTGCTTACAATCTCAGCACTCAGGAGGTAGAAACAAGATCCCCAGAGCAAATTAGCAGGCTAGTCTAGCTGGAATTGGTG